GATCACTAAAGGCAGATGGATGAGGAGACTGTGCCATGGAGGGGGGCAGAATGTGGTGTTTGGCTTTGGATTGGTAACTACCCTCCTGATGCTGGATAGGATGCTGCCTGCCCTGTGCCTGATCCCAGGTAGAATCTCCCCCTCCCCCTTTTTAAAAATTTAAGTTAGAAACAAGCTTGTTTCACATGTCAATCCCAGCTCCCCCTTCCCTCCTCCCCCACCCTCTCCACCAGGCTCCCCAGTCTCCACTTCGAGCCCCAGGGAGAGTGAGGCCCTCCATGATGGATATCCAGAGTCTGTCGTTTCATTCAGGGCAGGGCCTAGGCCCTGCCACAAGAGTCCAGGCTGAGAGCGCATTACTCATTGTGGGATGGGCACTCAAAGACTATTTGTACACCAGGGATAGATACTACCCAAGGCCCCATAGGTTGCCTAGGCCTCCTCACTGACACCCACATTCAGGGGGTCTGGGTCAGTCCCATGCTTTCCACACAGTCATCCATCTGGGGTCCAAGAGCTCCTCCTTGTTTAGGTCAACTGTTTCTATGGGAAGGAGTCTTAACTCCTTTGCTCATCAGTTCTCCCTTTTTGTCACTGGATTCCAGGAGTTCAGTTCAGTGTTTAGCTGTGGGTGTCTGCCTCTGCTTCCATCAGTCACTGGATGAAGGTTCTGTTTCCCAGACTCTCTGGCAATGGGATTGTATGCTGGCACTCCCCTGATTCATGTCTAAAATCCATATATGAGTGACTACATACCAGATAGAATCTTATATCTTCTTATTCCTTTTAATAAATATATAGGTGATACTCAGCCAGTCCTACTATTAGGAAGACTTCTGTGTACATCTGCTACTGCATTAATCCTTGAATTGGGGAAGGCACATTGCTCTGGGACCCTTACCTCAGGAAGGAGGAGTACCCTCCTTCCCCCGTTAGGACCAGCAACAGGGGGAGGTCTCAGTGCTTCTGCTCTGGGGTCCTTGAGGTCCCTGGGTGGCTCTCTGCTCCTTAGTCCTGCAACCTCCACCCAGTGCAGCAGTGGAGGTACAGTGTGCAGTGTGTGGTCCAGGATCTGGAAAGAGACTGAGGGAGGGGACTGAACTACAAGAGGTCACTCCAGTTCACTCCTGAGCCTCATGCACAATCCTGCTGTTTCCCTTGACCTTTTATATGGCCCACTGATCCCTTGGGAAGGTTTGTCCACACAGCTGCCAATAAGCAGGATGGGGCTCAGGGGACTCATTTCTAAAGACACCCAAGTGCAGGTCTCTCTAGAGAGAAAAGGGCAGTGGCTGAATAGCAAGAAGACCTACTCTGATCTTCTTCCTGATTCTGTCACCACTTTCACAGGCCTAGCCTTTGTTACCTGTGATTATCGGCTCTGAATTTATAGCTTCCCATGTTTCAGAAGGTGCCTTGTCTCTTTCCTTGGGATTGTCTGCCCAGTTGTTCTCTTCCTAATGTGGAGAGATGATCCAAAGCGGACAATCTGTGGTGCTTGTGATGACAAGAAGTCTGTCCCTAATAACTCCTCTCACTTTTAGTCACGAGGTGTGCCCCACCCAAAGCAGTACTTCTTTCAGAGCTAGGGAGTGCAGCCCTTGGTGTTACTTCTCCTCATAGTCCTGGTCACAGGTTGGATGATGCTGAAAGAACACTACCGGAAAACTCCACAGTGGAGCTGGTTTTGAGAGATGAACAGAAGTCCTTGGTGGAGTGAGCATAGGAGGGGGACATTATACAAGTCCATTCAATGACATGTATATTTAGGGAAGGTGATATCAGGTCCTAGGAAGTATAGATAGGTCTGAGCAGAACACTCAGAGATATTTCCCAAGATTTCCAAATGTATCCTCCTCGATCCACTGTTATGTCTAGTCACCTCGAGTCTTCTCTGGCCAACCACTGCTTACCCAGGTCAACGTACTCATTGGTATCATTAAATAACACCTGCTTTCCAAGCTGTGGCTTCTCAAGTAGAGAAACTTGTTGGAAGTCAAGATCACCCATCTCATGTGTGAGTTATTCTGACTCTTATACTCATTCCTGAGAGATGGAGTTACAGAGACACACTGCCTACTGAGAAAACGAGAGACTCAACAACAACATGTTTCCAGCCAGCTATTCAGGAAGCAGATAATCAGGTCCTGCAATCCAAATTTTGGAAAACTTAGGCTTCTCAGTCATAAACACTCACAGGGATTTTAGTGTCAGCAGAAGATGATAGTAGGAGAAGTACGTCACCAGAGTCCCTGTCAATGATCCCAGGCCTGTGAGTCTAAGTTCAGACAGTGGTGACAATGACGTCTGTGGCTGCTCTTTGAGAAGGTCATCCTGTGTGCTTCTTATCTTTTGTAATTTACTCCTCCCAATTCTTTAGTGTGATGACATTTTATGTCCCTTATTCTTTGGGTAAGAGCACTTGCATCATTTGCTGGGGTTTCAATGAACCTCCCTCTGTCTTCCCAACAAGACAGAAAGACAGTGCTAAGGGCCTTGTGGCCCTACCGCAACCAGACCAGGCAGCAGCTGCTGGGATAATCAAGCAGATAAGCAACTGGATCCTGCCATTGTCTCCCTGAGAGTTAGAGGAAGAGAAAGAGCAATAGCCCACAGCTCCTGGGTCTGCCTGTCCTGGTGACTATCTCCATTGGCATTTAGCCCCAGCAAGATGCTAGATTGGCTCTAATTGGGGGGGAAAATAAAAGCATGCACTGAACTGCTGTTTTGTTGCTAAGGAAAGAGCTACTCAGAGCTGGGAGTGCTGAGAGGAAACACATTTTTTCATCCTTAACCCTTTCCTCATAGGGGAAGGCTGGGAAGATACGTGAACTCACACACTTATCTTCCCTGTCCCCTCTAAATTCTCTCAGAATGCTCACTGGCACTGAAAGCAGGATCAGTAGGAGGAGTTGATGCACCAATCCTGTGAAGGTTAAAACAGTTGCTACTTGACGTTCTTTTTTTAAAATTTTATTTAAATTAGAAACAAGCTTGCTTAATATGTCAATCGCAACTCCCTCATCCTTCCCTCCTCCCCCGCCCCTACCCCTGCCCCTAATCCCCCCTCCATTCCTCAGGGAGGGTGAGGCCATCCATGGGGCATCTTAAAAGTGTCATATCATCACGGGCAGGGCCTAGGCTCTCCCTCATGTGACCACGCTGAGAGAGCATCCCTCATTGTGGGATGGGCACCCAAAGTCCATTTGTATGCCAGGGATAAATACTGATCTACTACCCAAGGCCCCATAGATTGCCGAGGCCTCCTCACTGACACCTACATTCAGGGGGTCTGGATCATCCCCATGCTGGCCTCTTAGTCACCAGTCTGGGGTCCATGAGCTCCCCCCTTGTTCAGTCAGCTGCCTCTGTGGTTTCACCAGCCAGGTTCTGACTCCTTTGCTCATCATTCCTCCCTCTCTGCAACTGTGTTCCAGGAGTTCAGTTCAGTGTTTAGCTGAACTGCTTCAGTGTTTTGCCTCTGCTTCTATCAGCCACTGGATGAAGGCTCTAGAATGGCATATAAGGTAGTCATCAATCTCACTATGGGGGGGAGGGCATTTAAGGGAGCCTCTCCACTATTGCTTAGATTGTTAGTTGGTATCATCCTTGTAGATCTCTGAAAGTCTCCCTAGTACCAGATCTCTTCTCAAACCTATAGTAGCTCCCTCTGACATTCTTAATTCAAGTGTATCAATGATCATTTTTAGGTTGGTGTTAGCTTTAGGTCTATTTCATCACTCTCATAGTGAAGAACACAGAGGCCCAGAGAGGCTATGATTTTTACTCAAGGTTGTTGTTCGTTGTCCTCAGATGGGTGTTTTGGTAGTCACCTTGTCTTATTATGGTCAATAAGCCTGGCTGTGTAAAGTTCAACAAACATTGTCAAGCTCCTGCTAACATGGCTATAATGGGTTTTGGTTAATGAAGAGAGTGGGCAGATGCAAAGACAAAGAGCCATGTCTTTTGGCTCCCAAAAGACATTTGTAGCAGCCAAGGGAATTGGAGCTAAGGTCTTTAGACAGCAGGAAGAAGTGTCCCACACAGAACAAGAGAAGATATGCTGGTTGGGCTTTCAGCAAGATAGATCCTGAGATCAGAAGAAAGGGCAAAACCCCATATGAACTGTGTTCCTGAGATCACCTCAGAGACGGGCTAGGGAGGCTAGGAGATGGGGAGGGGAAAAGTGCCTGTGTATCAACTCTTCTGAGACTCCATCCTGCGATGGGATTCTGATGCTTGGATGGTTCTTCACAGTTGTTTTAGAGAGGCTAAATAACACAGGTTATTACGCCTTGATATTAAGCAGCTTTCTGGTGCTTCTCCTAGAAAAGGTCATGCCTTTGGGAAAGGGGCTCTTCCAAGCCTGAGCAATCTCTAAGGGGCTGGCCAAGTAGCTGAGGCCTCTGGGGCCAGGCTTGTGTCTTTTACTCCTGGATGAATGCAGCGTTGCAGGCTGCATCCTTTGCACGCCTCCCCTGAGGCATCAGTATCTCACCAGGTTTGAAGGGTGCCTAGCAGCAATTAGAGCTTCCTGCCTCTTTGGATTCCATGACTGCCTCCACGTCGCCATTCCTTGTTTGTATCCTTTAGTTTGTCTCTCAAGGGTCACAGGAGTTTGTATAGAACCTCCAGAAGTTGGAATCTGTCTGCCGGAATCTGCTGAGGGGACTGAGGCAGGAGGATATGACATCAAGCTACCGTGAAAGGAATGAGACACTGCTTGTGTCATGGAGAGAATTGTGTCCCTCTGAAGTTTCCAGAAGGAGGCCCAAGCATCTATGCTGGACTGGGCCGCGAAGGAAGTATAGTATATTCCATGACAGGCAGCTCTCAGGTGTAAGAGCTGGTAACTTCTGCACTGAAGCTTTGTAAGTGCTGCCTTTAGCTTTAGGATCATCCTGTAGGGACAACAGGAAGTCTGATCCCCACCCACTTTTTGCACGAGTCCTCAGTTACATAATCACTAAATGCCTGATTCCATCTTGTTCTCTCATTAGAGTCCTTAGCTGGAAGTTTGATATTTAAAGGGAGATGGAGGTCAGTCTGGAACAGTTGCGAAGGGCTCATCATGTAGTGTGTCACCATGTAGATCAAGGTAAGGATCTCTGGCTTGTTTCTGTTAAGTTCGGTGTCTTTTTCTTTTCTTCCTTTTTGTACTTGTTAGTCAAGTACAAAGTAAATCTATAAAGTATACAAATTAGTGTATGTGTGATTTTGTTGGGTAGTTATGACCATCACAACTATGAGTTCTCCAATCTATAAAAACGGGGATCTGTTCATTTGCTCAAGTCTTCTGTGATTTATTTCAGTACGATTTTTATATATTTTACCTTTTTGTATTACTCTAGTTAAACCTATTACTAAGTATCCTATTTTTCATCTTTAGCAAATAGAATTAATTTTTAAACTTCACTTTTAGGCTACTACAGTGTAAGGAAGCATAATTTTAATACATGTGCTGATCCTTTATTCTTTTTTCAAATTTAACTTTTTATTGATTTTTTTGTGGATTTTGCATCACTATTTACTTTTTTTGATCAAGGATTGTGGGACTTGTATTTTCTTGAAACTCCTTGCATGGGATTAACCTTACACACTCAACTACTAACACTGGCTTGTACTGAAGCCCTTTGAAGAAGCTACAATTGTATTAGGCACCTGAAGACTGTTGACCTTGGCTGACTAGAATGTGGTGATTTCATATTGGAGCATTGTAGGTTGTGAGCCAAAGTTATCTCTGGCCACCTTAGTGCATTTAAAAGGCATTTACTCTCAACTTCTGTATCTGTCCTAATATTTCTGTGTCTGTGAACTGTAGTTCTTAGAAATGTTGTTGTGTTTAGCTGGCCATCAGTTCACATCAATTCTAAAGCCAAGAATGCTATAACACCTGCATCTATGGGAGAGAGACTTTGTTCTGCAGAGTCCCACTTTCCTTAAGCTGCTGACAGCATGTTCAATAAATGCATTGATTTATAATCTTCTCTCTTCTGTGGCTGCAGGGCTCATGCCGCTTCTTCCATGAAACCACTTGGCTCAATATCTACATACTTGAGTTTGTGCTCCTGGACCATGGTCATTCATATTGCATCAGTGTAAATGATATTATATTTTAAAACTATGTGTTTATTTGCAAGTGATCAAGGTCTGTGCGTTTGTGTACATCAAGTGTCCTCTTTTATGCCTCTGCTTTTTTTCTTTGAGGTAAGGTCCTTCCCTGAGCCTGGGGCTCAATTTTTTTACTAGGCTGGCAGACATCAAGTCTCAGTGATTTTCATGTGTAAATGTTGGAGTTACAGGAATGTCTGGGACAATTCCAAGATTTTTATGTGATGCTGGGATTTAACTCAGGTCCTCAGGGTTGTGAAGAAAGTGCACTCAACTACTGAGCCATCTCTCCAGCCTTAAGGCATTTTATTTTCTTTAAAGGAAAGGTATTCTTTTCTGTTGACTTAGGGGGAACCCAGATGTGACTTGAGTGAGAGATGTATCCTGTGGGCTTATGATTGGAACACTTGGCCCTCTTTGGGTGGTACTATTTGGGAAGGACTTCATTCTGGAAGGTTTTTTGTGCATGCTGTCTCAACTTCTGTGCACTTCATATGCACCTAAAAACACTGCTTTCTTATGGTCATCCACCACTTATGAGTCTTGCAGCATTTTCAGTCATCTTCCACAGTAATTGTGAGGAGTGGTATGGCATGGATGTCTCACATAGGACAGAGCATTTCATAGTCTTATTCCATGCACCATGAGCAGTTGTGGTTCTCTAAGCCAATTGCCGTCTACTGCGAAAAGAGGTTTCTGTGACGAGTACACCACATTTTTTTAAATGGGCTTCTTGGTCTCTTAGTTAACACCTAGGTTGGTTTGATAGCTTGGCTATCAAACATGGTCATCAGGGTATCTTTTAGGTATGGTGACTTGGAGTCATTTCCTACTGCTATATACAGATGCATCCCACGGTGGTTATATATTTAATGTTTTGAGGAAAGACTGCTGGTTTCCACAGTGTCTCTCATTCTTGATCCTATTCTCTAAAGATCTTTATTGACCATCAAACAGGGCTGGCATTCAATAACATTTTGGTTTCAGAGACAGGCTAAGGATAAGTTTGGGTGTTTCTTTTGTTATGATTTATTCCCATAGAGTTGCTAGTATAGGCTTTCCACACCAGAATTCACAACACACTCTTGCTGTCCCAGGCATAGACTGCCATTTCTCTAGTTCATCTCCAGCCCTAAAAATGATGCTGGGATCTGCCTCCTGCTGGACAAACATCTCTCTTGGTGGACTCTGGTGTAGTTCCGCCTTAACACACTGACTTCCTTTTTGTTCTTTGCCACATCAGCCCCGTTAGCCTCTGAGTTCCTTGAATTCTCTGACCACTCCAGTCATAGGCCCTGCTCAGGATCTTTACAGTTATCCTCACTCTCATATCAGGTCCCCAGTTAAGTGGACACCCTGTCTCTGAGCACCCTGCCACAGGACACAGTCTATGCAGTCCCTGCTGCAGGATACCATTTAAAACTACTTTGGGGGAAGAACCCTTTCCTAGTGCAGTGTTTGTTTCTGGTTATCTGAACTACCCCTACTGAAACATAAACCCCATGTGCATAGAGCTCTCCTGTATTCTCTGTATCTACAACTACAGCATCCACAGCAGAGCTTGCCTGGCACATGTTGGGCCCAAGAGTTCCTGAGCGAATGTTGTCTCTTATTCCTGCAGCATTCCACACATAAACTAGAGATAAAACAGAGCCAGATCAGAGTATATGCTGACTCAAGTCCCATTGTCTGGCATCCTTAGGTTATATGGGAAATTTTCCACAGTGCTGAAGATGCAAAATGTAAGTACATTTGCTAAGTACAGGGCTGATCACAGATGTTGTTCTGCGATATTTTAAAGCAGACATCTTGTTCTCAGCAAATAAGTGTGGCCCCTGGATGTTTGCTTTTCTTAGTGATCCTTCCCAGTCTATCACTCATCCTAGGCATGGTCCCCGAAGACCCAAGGACCAGACAGATACAAAGCTTCTGGTTATGTTTTATGAATGGTGAGGTGATTTTTCTTTGGTTTTGTAGTTTTGGTCATTACCTTCAAGAAGTTCTTAGAAGAGCATACTGTCATCTTGTCTGCTTGTACCATCTTTGACCTGAGCAGTCACTGGGTAATCCATCCAGAGATGCTTTCCCTTGCCTTGGTTGCTTCTTTAACATGGCCTGTGCTGGGTTGGAAATAACTGGTGGCCACTTAGACATTGCCAGGGTCTGTGAGCATGCTCATGCTGGACATATGATGTACACGGGTGACTTCTGAAGACTCAGGTCTGCTAAGAGTGTGGACTAAGAGGTACTACTGGAAGGTAGTGTAACCAGCCTGGCAGGAATGTATACATTCTAAAGAGATCCTTGTGTCTCTTAGAATGTGGAAACAATGTGTCCAGAGAAATGGGAATTTCTTTAGGAATCTCATGCTAGACAAAGGAAAGGGACCCATCCCTAGGGGCAAGTTGTCTCCCAAAAGGGATTTCATGAAGTTCTAGCAACTTGTCAGACATCCTTATAAGATACTGAAGCCCAGATGATGATGATGGGTGTGGTTGGAACCACACCTTAATCAGGACTGCTTAGCTGTGCTTAGATATACATATCCTTGATCCTATGTTTAAACTTCAGGACACTAATGACAGACTTGGAGGATGTCTGGGATCTCTGTTCCTTTCCTCGGTGTGGCCACATTGAATAAATATACACTTTCTGCTATTAATTTGGTTCTTTTAATTGGTGTATTTAAATGGGTGACTGAACATGAAAGGTTGCCTCTTTAGAAGGCACTTGCCATTTTTAGTAAAGGTTAGTTTGAATTTAAATTTTTCTTTCTTCCTCTTCTTTCCCCTTCCCTGCCCCAATCTCCCCCGCCCCTTACACCTGCTGAAAAACAACTTAGTTCCTTTTGAGGCAAACATTTCAATGGATAGGGACACAGCACCCAAACACAGAAGTCAGAAGGGAAGGGGAAAGGCGATAAGCAGAGAGGAGAAAGGGTGGGAACAGATGGCGATCCAGCTAGGCCATCCTCCTACTGGAAGAGGGGAAAGCAAACCACATCCACACAATGTGCCTGGCAGGATGGATCGCTGAATAATATTTGTTCATCAGATATCTCAGGAATGTGTGTACCCTTTCTCACAGTGAACGGAGGCCATTTCTCCTGGAAAACATCCCAAATGAATAGAGCTGGGAGAGGCAGAAAACACTAGAAACCAGGATCCTACTCCTAGCACTGCCTGTGTGGAGTCTGTAATTCCTACTAGCAGACAGGTAGTCCTCTCTCCCATGTCAAATGATCTTAGCACAGGATGTGTTTCTGTAAGGTAGATGCTCCCTTCACTAATGACAGGCCACCATCAGCTACTGCCTCACCATTTCCTATGGTATCACAATGATAGGTGACTTAGTGTACCATCTAAGCCCAGCCCAGGCACAAGCCGTTTCCCCGGTATGGATGCTGGAAGGGGCCGGTTTGGGACTCTTCTTCCCCTTATAAACCTGGTGTGCTCCAGAGAAGAGGCAAGGAAATTAACTGCAATTCGGAGGACACCAGCTTAGCCTTTGTTTTGTTTTGGCCATGAAGACTCATGCACCTGTAGCCAGACTGTCCCTGAGGGGACCTCTCGGACGAAGGTGCCATCCAGCCCACATCAGAAGAGCTTTGAAGAGGCCATAGCTCTCAAGCCTCAGTTACATCTTAAGAATCTGGGCTTAATGCAGGTGGCTAGGCATTAGAAGTCAGATCCTTTGCAAAGCTTTCCAGGTGATGTGGTATATAGACAAGGCCGAGATGCCGGCTTTGCCGTGAGAAGTGACAGTTGCCACCAACACATCATTTCTAAGACATAGTTTCTTAGGCCCTGTTCTCCATGCTTCCACCTACCTTTCCCTAGACTTGAGTGGGGCTTCCTCTTTGCTCTTCCTGCCAGCCGTATGTGACCTTTTTACCCAATCTCCACATAGGAGGAAGAGAAATCTTTGCAAAGACATATGGCGGGGTCTAGCAATGTTACCTCATGTGCTATGGGATCATGTGCTGGGT